TGTGCCCAGGGATGTAGCGAATGTCTGAACTCCAGGTATCTACCCAAAATGTGAATTGAGATTGCTCCAAAGAGCAAATGAATTTTCTAATATTTTTTTCTATAAGTTGAATGTATTTAGTAAATAAAAAATAGTTATTTGTGTCACTAAAAATGAGTTGTCTCATTAAAATGAGGTGAAATACTCTGGCATTTTAAACTATTTTCTTGCATAAATATGTAATTAAATTATTCATCTATGTATTTTCAATTTCTTCAACTTCTGAGAATACCAATATTCTATTGCTTTGATCTTTATCACCAATTTGGAGGTGACTGCCTTGCTATAATATATATTAACTATTAATGGTCAGCTCAGTGAGTATCTTATTTTTTGATTTAGTATCTTTTTGTGTGTACAGTACTGTAATCAAATCTAGGGCATTATGCATCCAGGTAAGTGCTCTGCCACTGAGGTGTATCCTTGGTCCCTAATACATAGTTTTAAATTCACAGAAAAATATGGAAGGTACAGAGATATTTTCTTCTGTACTTCCTTTACTTTCACAGTCCTCCTCCATTATCAATGTCCACTACTAGGGGCATACTCTTGCTACCAATGATGAGCCTACATTTATACATTATTATCACTCACATATTTAATGTATACTAGGATTCTTTCTTAGTGCTATACAACCTGTGGTTTTTAGAAAAATGGATAATAGCATGTTTTCATAGTTGTAGCTTCAGAAACAAAATGTTTTATTGTCCTTATCCTCTTCCTAATCACCTCAACACACACGTAACCCCTTCCAACCACTGATCTCTATTATATCTGGAATATTTTTTTTCAGAGTAACCTTATATTTGGAAAAGTATAGTATATTTAAAATATTAAAGTTCCAACATAATTAAATGTAGTCATTTACAAAATACTTTTTAGTTTTTCTTTCTTTTGAGGTGCTAGTGATTGAATACATTACATCATGTGATATAGGCACATTGTCTATGAGGGGCTACATTTATAGCCCTTGTTTTCCAACTTTTGTTCACCAATATAGGACATGAGGGCATATTGATTACATGCAGAAAAAGCAGGAAGTCTATAAAGATTTGCCACATAATGAAAAGGATTGAAAAAAATTGGATCATGCTGTATAAAACAGTGCTAACTGTAATATCCTACTCTACTGGGACCAGATAAAATCTTCTCAGTGGAATCTGACAATCTCAAGGAGTCACAGTTTATACAATGGTCATCAAAAAGTATTTTACAGCCTTGCTATAGGAAAACTTTCTAGAAATCGAGTAGTAAACATGAATTGAAATTATCTCCTTTTCAGTTGTCAGAATGAATCTTTGATGGTTTGGATGTGAGGTGTCCCCAAAAAGCTCATGTGTGATATAATGTAAGAAGGTTTAGAGGGGAAACGATTGAGCTATGAGAGTCTTAACCCAGTCAGTGAATTAATCCCCTGATGAGATTAACTGGGTGGTAACTGAAGGCAGGTAAAGTGCAGCTAAGGATGTGTGTCATTAGAGGTTTGCCTTTGATATTTTATATCTGGTGAGTAGAGTCTCTCCCTGTTTTCTGAAAGTTCAACAAGTGAGCTGCTTCCCTATGCCTTACTCTTCCACCATGATGTTCAGCCTCATCTCAAGTCCCAGGGATTGGAGTTGGCAGTCTATAGACTGAGACATCTGAAACCTTCAAATAAACTCTTTCCCCACCATAATTGTTCTGATCAGGTCCTGTAGTCATAGCAATAAAAAATCTGACTAAAAGAGAATCTCAATGAAATTTGCTATGTACATTTATGACTGCTCCATAGTGAATCTCGTCAACATGTATGTCCCCAAGGTACTAATTTTTTTTAAAAAAAAAAGGATAAAAATAACAGTTCAGTACAGTAGATGAAAGGAAACAAAGCAAGGGGGGAGAAAAAAGGTATCTACTGGGGACTGAATTTAAAAGAAAAAAACAAAGCTGTAGAATTTGATCAAAATGAATCCTTATGTTTAAATTAAAAGAATCAATAAAAACAAAGAAAAAATAATTACATTGCAAACTGCTTGAGGTAGTATATTGAGTAAAATAATTCCATAAGTGCTTTAAATTTAGCAAATCCAACATTGTCTAAAATTATGTCCCCTTCTTTGTATAAGCCCCTTCAGATTTATTCATACTACATGCTTTACATTTTTGCCATTACAAATTAATGATGTACTTCAAATAATCTAAAAAGTAATTCTAATATTTTCATAGAAGAGTATAAAATCAGACTATTTAATTTTAACAGAACTGACATACTTTTAAAATTTTTATTATTTTTATTACTATTTTTATTTCAGTTCTAGGGATGGAACCCAGGATTCATGCATTCTATGCAACACACTACCATTAAGCTCCATTCTGTATCCTATCAGTAGATTTTCTCTTGGGGGAAATGCCGAAAGAGTCAAATTGTTTTGTTTCATAATTTAAATGCATTGGAAAGGACTTTTTCTCTCATCAGAGAGACAATGGTTGGCACATTCTGAAAGCATAATAGTTTACTTTAATACTTTCTCATATCAGCTATTTCTACATGACAACTTGCTGCTACCTCCCTAGTACTTCTAAGTTTTCCTATGACAACAAAGTATATACCAGAATGTACAAACTCTAAAGGATGTCATCTTTTTAGTGTCCCACACACACACCACCTGCATTGGAGGTAACGCCTTGTTTGTATAAGACATAAGAGAGAAAGCATCTGGAAATAAGAGAATAATATCTTCACCAGAACAGATTAATAAGGGTAAACGTATCAATTTCTGTTTAGCTCTCCTCAAATTTAACCTGGAATGTCTATGTAAGCATTCCAGTCCCTGGTCTGTTTTCTTGAGTTTTGCCATGCAGCAAAGTACACTGTCCATGCATCCACCTTCCTTTGGTAAAGGGTTTCATTTTAATCTGAGCAGTTTTGACGGAAAATCTGGTGCTATTGTGTATCATAACAGCTTAAGAATATTCTCTGATAATTATTCCTAGTGCAATTAGTCCAGAAAAATCATGCTATTTGTTTGACACTTTCATCTCTATGCTCCTGAATCTGCTAATGATATTGTTTTCTGTCCATCGTGTAACTTTTAGATAAAAGTACAGTCATGGGACTGTTTACTTTTATTTTTAGGTATCAAATTTTGATAAATCCCATGCATCTTCCTTGCATTTAAAAAGTACAATGTATGATACTGAAGAGTTCTTGATGAATTAATTGCCTATCAAAAATATAATTTTCACTCTAGAAAAGGCTCCATATATGGAAATTTGCTATGTACATTTATGACTGCTCCATAATACTCTATAAAAAAGCATCAGACTCATACACTTTTAATATTTTATATTTTCTATTCTTAATTAAATACATATTTTACTCTTTTCTTTAATAGTGGATGAAGATTCTATGGATGACAATTTTAAAAGGTAGGATTTTATAGAGTAAAAAAGAATGTATGATAGCTAATTATAGAATGAAAATGAAAGGAACAAATATTTGTTGAGTGTTCCAGTCTAGGATAGACAATTGTATCTAACACTTGTTTGTTAAAGTCATCGGAATGACTTTGAAAGTGTTTGTGGTATTATAACCTGTTATTTACTAATTAAGCAGTTCTCACTCATTCATAGAAGTTGACTAATTGTCCCATGTTCCCACAATTAATAAGTACCAGGCCTGTAGTTACACTGTAAGCTTGCCTGGCTGACAACTCCATTGTATTGCCCTACTGTGTAGGTTGATGCCAGTGCTGTACTAGAATCAAGAAGCAGGTCTGTATCATCAATTCAGAAAGTCAGAGTCAGTTGTGGGTTAATTCTGATTCATAATTTACCTGAGAAGCCTGGATATAGAGTTTGTCCTGATATTTTTGACAGTTTCACTGATATCAAAATTTCTTTTTTTTTGTACATCAAAGATTTTTAGGAAAAAATCTCACAAAGCTGTGGTATCATGTTTTCTTCATAAACAAGATCAGGCTAGTCCTGGAAAGGAATCATTTTACTTGACGTTAAGGATACCTTTGTGTAAACCATGTTATATTAAATATATTAAGGCTCCATATAGAGAATATTTTAATTGATATCTCTACTTCCTGATTTCCCAGTTTGGTTTCCTTCAGTATTCTACCCGATGTATCTTTGACCTCTATTTTTATAAACTGTTTTATAAATCAAGGGCTACATTTTCCTTCAGGCTACTACCCCTATTTACTTTTATGAAGACTTTTTTTCTTTATAATCTTGTTTTCTTTTTCTATGATTAAAATCTTTTCTTGAATTTTTATTTTTACTTTTTGTTGTGCTCTCTTTACTATTTAATGTTGTGTCAATTGAATATTCATTTTTTCCTATTAACAAAATCAAAAGCTCAGAGAATTTAAGAATTTTAAGGAATTTTCACCTATCAATATACCCTCTCACCCTTCAATATGTATTTGACATGCTGGCCAAATGGTGGTCATGATTATGACCCTGAAAAGTATAGATATGAAAGGGAATTTTGTAGATATAAAAAGAAATAGCAATAAGATTCAAACTGAGGTTCCTTCATGCTAACTCAGTACTTTTCCTGATTATCATTGTGTAGTAAATGTGTTCATAACAGATTAGGAAGTGTCTGTAGAAACCCAACTAAAGTGGATAAGACTGGGGTTACTAAGTAAGCCCAGTGATAGAGTATCAGAGTGACACTAACAAAGGGAAGGGCAAAACTGAAGAGAAACAGCATTGTGTTGAGTAGAAATAAGGGTTGTAGAAAATTGACCAAAACCTTGGGGTTTATGACCAGTTTGATTAACACAAAATGGATATTAAGGACATAGAATATTGGAAGCTCTCTAGAAAGGCCTATTAAAAATAGGATTTGAAGGAAGTCCTGATAGGTTGTTATTTTCTTGTTTGT